GTGGTAACTCGAAGCAAAGGTCTGCTGAGATATTCACAAGATCCGGTGTGAGCCGCCTGATCCGCGTTGTCCTGCTGAGATATTCACAAGATCCGGTGTGAGCCTGATCCGCGTCGTCCGGTCCTTGTATGCCTTCTGATTCACGAAATCCTGTGTGAATTGCTTGATGCGAGTCGTCTTGTGCTTGTGCGTCCTCTGAGATTGAGAGTGCACGTTGTCTATTTCCTGTCGTCTTGTCCTTGTGCGCCTTCTGAATTTGAGGGCGCACACCGATTATTGGCAATTGGTATGAGCAATCGGATTGGCGTCGAGGAAATTATGCATCCACCGAGAAATGTTTCTGATATGGATACGCTTGATATGACAATGCTTTTGATGAGCCTTGCTATGATCTTACTGTCTTGTTTCCCTGGACCTTTCTTGAATCCAAAATGGCGTGGATCCGGCTCAAAGGACCAAAAATGTGTATGAGAATGATCTCAGTTACCGTGAAAGTACAGTATTGGAAATCCATGCAATATGGAATTTCTGCTGCTTTGTTGGCCCAGAAAATGAAGAGACACGTTTTGTAATTAACAATAAGACTTTAATTATTTTTCGAAAAAATAATGTGCCAACGTGATGTGGCGTGACAAGGCGAATCGATCACAGAAAACGATCTGATCTCCATCTTCGTTCGCAGCGCCGCTAGATCCCTCATTTACACACGAATCGTTCCGAAAAAGCCCGAGTAACTCCGAGATACATGAATACGGCGTACATAGATGGTAGTAATGTCGGGAGGCAGATTTAAAACTAATAGAATCACATAAATCGAATAGGAGAATCCTTTACAATGCCATAGGAGGAGGAAGTAGTATATGGGAGGAGAGGTTTCCAGTTTTGCGGATCTTTGTCTTTTGGTTCATAGAGGATTCGAGTTAGGGAATAGTTAACTTCCTATCCCCAAAACAAGTCTCGTTCTCTATACTGGGTCGTTTCTGTTCAGTGACAGCCTGAACAGTTGTGAGTGCTTTGGCGCTCATGATCTCCTGAGGGTGGCCCTGAAATAATGCTTTCTAGTGGTCCCAGGACCACCCTCATTGTGTGATTGGGACGGTCTTCTTTCCTGGTGGGTTTCAGCAGGTAGGCGATGAGAGTAAGCGTTAGACTTGTGGAGACTTGTCGAATCCTGCACTCCCCTGTTCACAGGCACAGAGCGTCTTTTTGAAGATTTTCCACCTTGTCACAAAAAAAAGATTAAGTGATGTCAGAATGGATGATGCTAGATTAAGTAAAAGTAGAGGGATAGAAGGTGACAGAAAGAGAAAAAGAAGGTAAGAAAGCGTTATGTACTCTTGAATTTTTGTTCAGATTTCAACAAAACTGCTACTTTTAATGTGATTTTCAACACTTTTCCATCATATCAGTTTAAAATTAACGTTTGCAAATGATTCAGCACATCAAAAAACATAAGAAAACATGCATAAGAAAGATTTCATCGTTTAGACAAATATTTGGTTATTTTACCCATCGTCCTTTGTATCTTCAGTTAGCAAGAATAAAGAAGGGTGTTACGAAAAGGCTGATTTTTGCTTTGCTCGCAAAAAGTAAGATTAATATCGTTTCTTATAGTTTTTGAGACGAGCAATCCAATGGTGCTAGTTAAAATTACGTCACAACGTTAATCACGTCGTGAACACATCGAAAATTGAGTTTAAAGTCGAAAAAATGCGTGGCGTCGCAGTCATTCGCAAGACAAGTGTCGCTATGTGTCGATGATAAGTAGTGTGTACATTATGTTTACTATTACAAATGAAGAATTTGTTATAAAAATGTTATATTTAATAGCAAAAATATCAGGCGCAACGGAAAGTCCCGTGCGCCTGTACGAACATGTTCGTACGACTCGTAACTTTCCCCATCCGGCGGATTGCCTCTTCCGAGTGAACCACGCATTTTTTTAACTTTAAACTCAATTTTTGATGTGTTTCCAATATGTGACGTTTTAACTAGCACTATTGGATTCCTCGTCTCAAAAACTATCAAAAACGATGTTAATTTTACTTTCCGCGAGTGAAGCAAAAATCGGTCTTTTCGTAACACCCTTCTTTAACTGCTGATGAATGGGTCTAAACTTTCTAATTTATTATTTCTTTGTTTAAATTAAGGGATCTCCTTTACGTTTATCTCCTTCCCTAAATAGGTAAGAATCGCACGTAGTTTAATACTGGGTTATAGAGATTAAATTCCTTGACCCAAAACACGATCGCGCTGGTTTGAGAGAAATAGCATCCTTTTCAGGACATTTCCAAGTTTTTTAAAAGCGCATTCGTCTCCGTGCGTATCTGAGAGGCAGACTGTCTGTTATGTCTTGTTGCGTCCTTCCATATCTCTTCCTCTCCGAATTCTTTCTCGTTTCCAACTGGGACTCCCTCCAAATACTTAAATTGCGAGGTTTGGACATAACAATATAACTATCAATTTTATTATTGTTAGTTTGTATTTACTAAGACAATTACAGTACTATCATTACACAGGTAATTTTTAGATTTTTTCTTTTAATTTTTAATTTTCTACACTAAACCACAATTTATTAAGAGGTTAGTTTCATCGGATAGCCTAAAATTACATAATTACATTTAATCCTTTCCTAAAATTATATTTTTTAAAAACTTAATTATTACATCCTGTTATTATTTTTACTCGGTTTAATCAGTAATAAAGGAATCTACCTTCATTCTTTTTAAATAATTTTCATTGCAATTGTATTTATTTCAAGTGAGTTTAGGAGTCATTCTCTTATTTCTTAACATTTACACATTTGTTTCCACATTACAGAGATTCTACATACTTTTTTAAGATTTCCAATCTGGTTAATGTGTGATGTCCATCTTTATTTATCCTTGTCCAAGGATTGCAAGAGAAAAAAATATGATATAGCGGTGTTCACAATCTAATAATAAAAATAATGAATTAGTCATTATTAGTATAAAATATAAATTGATTAAATAAGAACATACATATATATTTCAATAATCTTAATTCTCAACTACAGTTTTGAAAACCATTTTTTGTTTACACATTTGGATAATTTAGACCCAAGGCTTTTTTTGTGTATCTTCTACAAATTTCAATTATTATTGAATACATATTGTTACGTTCAATAGATGTTACAAATTCCTCGTATTAAAAACGTTCAATAAAATAATCTTTAAAGATAAGAAGTGAGCAATAAAACCGCATGCTGACGGTCATTGATCGACGGACGGTTAATAGTCCTTACAGAATTCTTCTTTTTTCTTTTGTTTGATTATGGAGCTTCAGGAGAAAACTGAGAAACGTAAGAAATAATAAACTGTAAATGGAAAATCCATAACAGTAGGACTTGTCGAGTACGTATAGTCCACAGTGACGCAATTTAGAAACGAAATGTGCCGAAGACTCCAAACTTTGAATAAAAATTTGTAATTAATCAATAATGTATAGACATAGGAGTATATTAAATAGAGGGTGTCCCAAAATAAACTTTTGTCCTTAAAATGTCATATTCCTGACTCAATTCTGAGACGATTCTTCCTTTACCAAAATTTGGTCCGAAGCTTAGTTTTCAAATTATAACGAGAAATAGTTAGCGAATTACGGGC